TCCTTGCTCTTATTAAAAATAACATTCAGAGTATGCATACAGAACAGCGTTTTCACAGTTTTTAGGAGCATAAATCTGCATGAGGAAAGATAAGCGGGTGGAGAAGCTGTTCCCTGGCCCTCTTATTGCCCTCAAACTTGACAAGTAGGATTAAGAGACACTTAAAAGAGCAGCTGGGCAAATGCCCAAAGAAAACATATGTGCACGCAAGCAGATATGCTTTTTTTTTCTGGAAAGGCCCAATATAACTTATTTAAAAGAACAGTTAATGATGAGAATGAATGTTTTTGGGACACATAAACAGCAGGACGTCAATATATGCAGAGTTATGCGGCGTGCTGTAGATGCTGCTCGTTAGGCATACAATGAGGAGAAGAAGAGGGGAAGGTAGTTATGTTCAATGCTGTTACACAAAGTGGGTAATTAGCTATGCCCTGGGTTCCCCTTTGAACCAGAAGAGACCTAGTGGCAGCCATGATATATTTGTTTTGTTCTCAGTATTGTGCAAATCCAACCCAGACCACTTATACCCCAGAAGTTCTGACCACAGAGGGTCAGGGGTACACACAACATCACATCCAAACTCCTTTAACCATTTCCCCAGGGGGGGAATCAGGAACTTTTACCAAAACTCTGCACTCAGCAATGCAAAATTAGTGGAAACAAATTGGATATAATAGAACACTGACGCATTGGAAAATTACATTTTCATGTTGCAAAAACCTGGTCTAAGTGTACAACACAGATGACATCAAGATAGTTTTAGTTATTCGCTTACTGTTGTCTGAAGGGACTTTAAAGAACATTAACTCTATTCTATTATGCAACAAAATTTCATTTGTTATTGTTAAGTTAAAGTGCTGCCACATTCCTTTTCTTCTCCAGAACATTATATAGCCTATCTTACTATAGATACAGTACATTCAGTTACACAGCAACTTAAGATGGGAGCCCATTAAAATTACGTATGGGCTGGATGAGCAGAAATACCTAGTTTAGGGTGAATAATGCAATGGAGAAAAGCTTGTCAGTCATTTAACAGGTTGGATGCTGTATTTAGCGGTGCAGGATTATTCTAGGACTGTAACCAGATCTCAGCTAATGTGAAGGCTGTCCCTTTGAAACACTACCTTCCTGTTGTCACAATGTGACTTACCGTATTTTCACGACTATAAGGCGCACTTAAACGTCTTTTTTTTCCCTCAAAATGTGCGGTGCGCCCTATGGTGCGGTGCGCCTTATGTGTGTTGTAACTGCGACTTTTGAGACCACCTCATTGAGGAGATGATGAAAGAGTGGCTGAATGTAAGGAGACCAGGTGTTTTTTTTCCACCCCTCACCATCGCTGTTAATATGTAACTCCATGCGTGCCCATCTCACAGCTGATGTGAAAAACATGGGGAAACAAATTAACGCTGTGCTCGCTGTTCAACCGCTCAACATCGGTGTGAACCGGACCCAGCAGGTGCAGCAGAAGCAGCGAGTTTACATGCAAAGTCAATGGTTGACGCGCATATAGGTGCAGCAAAAGGTCCTGCAGCGCGTTTTGGTGCAGCACGTTTAAGCATCTGACGCACCGCCAACGCGCTGCTGCTGCTCAGATGGAAAAATTTAAGTTTTGCTGCTGGACGCGCCGCATCAACCAATCAGAGAAGCTGATCTGGGAGCTGGCTGGGAGACAGACACAGTGCTCTGATGACATATGATATTAACGCAAATGAAAAAGGCTGGATGAATGAGAAGATGATGAAAGGCAGGTGTATGTGAGGAGACCAGGTGCTTTTTTCCACGCATCACCATCGCTGCGTGCCCATCTCACAGCCGATGTGAAAAAAAGATGAATCAAATGAACGCTGTGCTCGCCGTTATCCCGGGGGTCTGACAAAGGAACTTCAACCGCTTGACATCGGTGTGGAGCGGCCGTTCACAGTAAGGCTGCGAGCGGCGTGGGAGCGATGGATGACAGACTGAGACCACAGTTTCATGATAAATGGAAGGCAGCGCCTTGCAAGTTACGCCACCGTTTGCGGATGGATTGTAGATGGACTGTGTCTGCTGGCTCTGTTGTTCAAGCTTTCGCAAAAGCCGGCATTATTTCTGAGGAGCTGCGCTGCACGGAAAGTGACTCTGACAGCGAAGAAGGGGAAACTGGCATGTCTGATTTAGCGCAGCTGTTTTATTCAGAGGAATGCTGAGGATAACAGAGGATGATGACTTGATGGGTTTGATTAATACTTTGTAATAAATACATGAATAAAGCACAATCATACTCAGGTTTGCTCCCGCTCTATTTTTCAACCTGAAAACTTAATTCAACAGCAGCGGGCGCGTCTCCTCCTCTTCAGCGCGGTGGCTGGCAGGTGTTTTTTCATCTAAATAATCTAAATCTTGCAGCTATATTTGCTGTGATCAGTTGGAATAAAGTAGTTTTAATATGTTTTTAAGTGAGAAAGGCCACCTGAAAACTTAATAATTGCAGTCAGTTCATCCAGATTATCTATTTCTGTCGGAGGCGCTCAGACCCCCACATACCAGCGGTGCACCGACAGTAGAAATCCTTTCGTTCACCGCGGCTGCTGGCAGGTGTTTTTCATCTAAATAATTTTAGCTGCAGGCACCAGGATACCGGTAATAAAAGCGAACATATTCCGTCGGCAGGTTTCAGGATTTTAAGTTAATTTAGGAGTGATCACAGCGCTGTGTCATCTGCGATGTGTCTGACTCACGGCCAGCTGCCAGGTTTGATTAATACTTTGTAATAAATACATGAATAAAGCACAGTCATACTCAGTTTTGGGCCCACTGTATTTTTAAATACGCAGTAGAGGTATTTAAAGGTAGTAGAGGACATGTACCTGTATATAAAAAACGCGCCCTATAGTCCGGTGCGCCTTATGTGTGTGTTAAATACAGAAATGGGACACATAACTGAGAGTGCGCCTTTTAGTCCGGTGCGCCTTATGGTCGTGAAAATACGGTAGTCTAATGAATTAGCTATTACTATGGGCTCCTGATGTGAAGATGCTTGTTTTGTATGTGTTTGGAATTCTTATTTAGATTGAAAAAGAACTAATTGGCTAATAATCCTGGCTGGCAACCCTTAGTCTTTCAAGGAACGTCAAGTCATTTATGTGGTAGAATGATAGGAACAAAATAGAAAGAAGAGAAATGTGACCAGGTAACAGATACGCTTTGCAAGTTCTGGGGAAATACCTTTTCTCTAATCATTAACTGCTTAGGATCAAAATGTACATCTACTTTGGTGTTTCAAATTAAACCTAAGTCAAGGACAATTTCAAAGCTTGGATTGTGTTTCATAAACAGTATTAAAAAAAAACGACCTGCAGTTAATCATCTGTGAAACAGTTTCTCTAAATAAAAAAAGGCCTCTTTTCTCAAAATATGTTGCTAAAAAAATCTTCCAATATCAATCAAAATCATGCATTTTCTAGTGTACGTTTTTTTTTTAAACCTCAGATATTGTAATAATAGCATTTTTAATCTGCAATCTTGAAAGTGATGTAAAGTGTAATAATAATCTTCATAATGTATGAAAGATTGTCATGTTTTTGCCCATTCGGTCTGTATATAGTCTGCTTACAATCACATATTGCTGGAATTTGTTTGTTTACTTGCAAGAAAATCCTTTAGTCTGTACATGTTAAAATCTCTCAGTGAAAATACAAATCTTTTAAAGCCACTATCTATTACTACAAATCAGGTTGCTGGCAAGCTGAGTAGACGTCATTAGCAACTATTATATTGAAAGTCCAAAGATTTAGGGATTGCTTTGTTGCTGTTAAACTGCATGTTTCATGTTTGAGCTTTTGCATTCTTCTTCCTGCTCTTAGGAATACTTAAAAGGGCCAAGCTCTCCAATAAATCTTAAAACAATAGATATAATTTGGACATAATAACTGTTTCAAGGACAAATTATTATATATAATATATATAACTATGACCATGGTTATTAATCTCTAAATTAATAAAATAAATAAGTGCTTCGGCTTTATCTAAACCATTTTCCAGGGATGATCATTAATAAACTAGAGCTGATTTTATAACAATAGTTTTGTTAACAAATTTGATCTAAAATGGATATTTAGTTTGTACTCCACCTCTTATCAAATTCTTTGAGATAGCCACCAACCTAATCACAGCCATTTGGCTATGAGAAAGATCTGACCTGGGCTGAACTGAAAATTTACTGATTGGTAGAAATTTATTTTTTTAGTTCAAGTAGGTATATTAAGCTCTATGTATAATTTTCACATTGTTTGGATTAGAAAATAATTCAACAGTGAATTCATAATTTCTCCACCAATACTTGTTTTCTAAATGTCCTGAAGATATAAATTTAATAATGATTCAATAGAATAGTTAAAATAATTTAATAAAACCCCAAACTAAAAAAATGTAAGTATATGAGAAGCTCTCTGCGGAACTGTATACAAGCAAAAACATACAGAAGATGCCTGTTTTACATAAAAGCACAAATAAAACTATCCTATTTATTCTGTTTTAGAGATGCATATTGTCTAAACAACTGATTGCAGTTTAAGCAAGAAACACTGAAAAATAACAATTACATTTAATTAGCCAGATGTAATCCTCCCACCTCCCTTATGCACATTACTGTACCTTGTTATATTCCAGAATAAACACCTGTTCATTCTGCATATGTTCTTAATCAGCTATTCATATATTATTTTTTTCTATAATGTCTCTCAAAGTAAATATTTTCTGTCTTAAACTGCTGAATATAATTGGACACCTTTGTTAGGTTGCAATAACAATAACTCGATCCATACTTTTTGCAACTGTACTTTTGCTTACTCTCAGTGGTAGGTTCCCATACTGCCCCACAGAACCCTGGGACTAACATCAGCTGACCCACCACTGCTGTCACAGCATTTTCAGGATATTTGTCAGATACTGTGGCTCACTCTGGGTGCAAAACTACTTAGTGATAATATGCCGATATTCAGACAATAACTTACCAAATATCAAGCCCTGGTCTCCATCACACATTCAGCATCAGCCTCCTGATTAAGCAGCTGTCAGGATGAAGCCAAGGACTTGAATTCTTGAAAAAATAAACCTAAAGGACAGCAAAAACAAACAACAGAATGTGATATTAGACCTCTGTGTTCAACACAAATACCTCAGATCTGACCTTTTATTTACAGGAATTACTGTAATCAGTTTCAAGGCCCTTCAAAACTGTTAGATTTAGAGTTAACACAGCAGCTAGTGTCACACAGATGGTGATTATAATATCTATAAAACAAGTATGTCATTCCTTGGCAAAGTTTTTCTTATATGAATGAGCAAACTGTTTAAAATAGCAGTGCGTCATAAATGTAAATACTGAATAATGCTTGAAGCATTTTATGTCACTTTACATGCATTTAGAAAAAAACTGAATCTGAATGGATGGCCTTCTAGGTTTTGAATAACCTCCATGCAGGCAGAGCCACTGTTAGAGCAGAAGAGCCAACATTGTTTCTTCCCCACCTGCCATAAAAAGACAACCTTTCAGAGATTATAAATCGGAGGTGGTTCTGAAACTTAAATTCTTCTATTCTTTTGCCAATCAAATTAACACTATGTTGCAGAATTTAAAAATCTAGGCTATGAAAAACCCTTTTTAAACTCTTGAAGGAGAATGAAATCACTCTTTAGCCTGATTTTTAACACATTTACATAATGCATAGAACATTTAAGTAATTCCTTGGCTTTTGGCCTTTAATAATTAGTGAAGAAGTTAGCATTTTATGATTTCACTAGTTTTTGTTAGGGTTAGTAAATTGACATTAGTGAAACTACAAATAAATAAAATACACCTTTTTATGTAATTATTACCTCCTAGTGCTAATCTTTAATTCTTAGTTAAAACTTGTTTAGAAGTAGCTTTTCTAAATCCATTTATAGACTTGTAGATATTTCTTGTCTTAGGTTGTGATGTATATATTGCTTTTTTTATGCAGTTTTCTTTTTTTAGGACTTGTAATTAGCCAATTATACTTGGTTGATGATTATTGATAGTTATCGATTCCTAAAGTTAATGAAGACTAATGGAAAGCAGCAAGTAAAAGGAAACTACAGCCTCCTTCTGTGATAATCTTCTGTCATTTGTTGCTTATATTGATTAATATTTATTCATTTAATAATCCCCCCTTATCAAGTGTAGCTTTTTAAAATGGCATTAAATTAGTATTACCTGAGAACTGAACAAAAACCTTTCTGCTTACTTATATTTAATAGGAGCATTACATCATAATGATCAATTCATTTCAGATAGTATTTTTAATGCGAGTTTAATTTAATATGAGTATTAACATATTTAATTCAAAACATCAGCATTAAACTTTTAAGTAAGAAGGCATATGTGAACAAACCACCGCTCTTTGTTTTTGATTATTTAGTAGGACTTTCTATATACATTCAAACAGTATTTAGGCAAAGCAGGCAACGTTCCTTAACAAACCAAAAACACTGTCATGCATTCATAATCTCATTGACTGAGCTCGCTCTGTTTTTTTACTTGGCAGCTTGGGGCACGATATGAACGCTGATCGGATTATGAAACAGGAAAAGAAACATAAGCAGCAGCAGAGGCAGCAGAAAAACACAAGCAAAGATACCACAGCTATGAATGTCTGTCGTTAATATTTCACTGCATCATTGTTGCAAAAAGAGAACAAATGATTAATATGTGTATATATATGTATATATATATATGTATATACACTATATTGCCAAAAGTATTTGCTCACCTGCCTTGACTCACATATGAGCTTAAGTGACATCCCGTTCCTAATCCATAGGGTTCAATATGACGTCGGTCCACCCTTTGCAGCTAGAACAGCTTCAACTCTTCTGGGAAGGCTGTCCACAAGGTTTAGGAGTGTGTTTATGGGAATTTTTGACCATTCTTCCAGAAGCGCATTTGTGAGGTCGCACACTGATGTTGGACGAGAAGGCCTGGCTCTCAGTCTCCGCTCTAATTCATCCCAAAGGTGTTCTATCGGGTTGAGGTCAGGACTCTGTGCAGGCCAGTCAAGTTCATCCACACCAGACTCTGTCATCCATGTCTTTATGGACCTTGCTTTGTGCACTGGTGCACAGTCATGTTGGAAGAGGAAGGGGCCAGCTCCAAACTGTTCCCACAAAGTTGGGAGCATGGAATTGTCCAAAATGTCTTGGTATGCTGAAGCATTCAGAGTTCCTTTCACTGGAACTAAGGGGCCAAGCCCAGCTCCTGAAAAACAACCCCACACCATAATCCCCCCTCCACCAAACTTTACACTTGGCACAATGCAGTCAGACAAGTACCGTTCTCCTGGCAACCGCCAAACCCAGACCCGTCCATCAGATTGCCAGATGGAGAAGCGCGATTCGTCACTCCAGAGAACGCGTCTCCACTGCTCTAGAGTCCAGTGGCGGCGTGCTTTACACCACCGCATCCGACGCTTTGCATTGCACTTGGTGATGTATGGCTTGGATGCAGCTGCTCGACCATGGAAACCCATTCCATGAAGCTCTCTGCGCACTGTTCTTGAGCTAATCTGAAGGCCACATGAAGTTTGGAGGTCTGTAGTGATTGACTCTGCAGAAAGTTGGCGACCTCTTCGCACTATGCGCGTCAGCATCCGCTTACCCCGCTCCGTCAGTTTACGTGGCCTACCACTTCGTGGCTGAGTTGCTGTCGTTCCCAAACACTTCCATTTTCTTATAATACAGCTGACAGTTGACTGTGGAATATTTAGGAGCGAGGAAATTTCACGACTGGATTTGTTGCACAGGTGGCATCCTATCACAGTTCCACGCTGGAATTCACTGAGCTCCTGAGAGCGACCCATTCTTTCACAAATGTTTGTAAAAACAGTCTGCATGCCTAGGTGCTTGAATTTATACACCTGTGGCCATGGAAGTGATTGGAACACCTGATTCCAATAATTTGGATGGGTGAGCAAATACTTTTGGCAATATAGTGTATATATATATATATATATATATATATATATATATATATATATATATACATATATATATATATATATATATATATATATATATATATATATATATATATATACATATATATATATATATATATATATATATATATATATACATATATATATATATATATATATATATATATATATATATATATATATATATATATATATATATATATATATATATATATCATCTGTTCTGTGTTCCACTCATGATGAGATTTGTGCCAAAAAAAAAAAAAAAAAAAAAATCTGATTATGTTTCTTGACAATTACTGTATGCTTTAATGTGATAGTATTGCTAGGAGATACAAATACCGATAAAATTGGGGAAAATCTCTCCAGGAGGTTATTTTCAGTGCAGCATTCCTCCTTCCTTTTTTGTCTTTTATCACATCCAGAGGAAGGTGACTGCCAAGGTTGGTTTCTCACTTGTTCCAAAACTACAAAACATTTGGTGTGACGTGTCATAGCTCTACTTGCATCGCAAAAGCATGCAATCCAAGAGAGATTACTATATCACTCATACTTTTCTTCAGTCTTGGGGCATGAAAATACAGAATTCTGCACTCAGGTTAAAGCATTACTATACAGTTCATATTCTGAGTGAGACTTTGTCACTTTCAGTTATTCATATGGTCAATAAAGTATTTATAACATGAACCCTTTGTTTTATTAATACATACTCTCAATCCACTTCCAATTCCACTTCAATTTTGGCTGGACTTATGTCAAAGTTGAGGAAATAAAAGCAATAAAGGAAAATGAGTGGGGGTTTATGGTGTTAAAAAATTTAGAGGTTCAACTTTTTCCTCTGATGTCAGAAGATGCTAGTTCTGTTTTATGAGTTACATTTTTCCAAAAACTGTAAAACAATCCACTCTCTACAGCTCGGCAGCCAAACCATTTGACCTCTCTTTCTTTCTGTCTCCCCGCAGGTTTTGGAGGTACAATGATCCATATTTGTGCAGGACAAAGACAGTTGTTAGGAAAACAGTCATTCTGTCAGCTCTTACTCAATGAGCGAACAGCAGCGACTGAGACTTTGGTGTTTGGCTGCATTCTGTTGCAGAGAAGAACGACTGTGGGAGGCATCGAATAAGAAAGGAAAGAAGTAAATCCAGCATGCCAGCTGGGCTAGAGGAACAATGAGCATATTGCTTCCAAAATAGCCTGAAATCCATCTTAACTATCAATGTGTTTATAAAGAGGATAAGATGTTCAGAAAGTTTTTCTAGTTATATAGAACCCCTTCCTCGAACAATATTTTTTTTTAAACATCTGGGGTAAAGGTGGAAATATATGATAAGGCAATGAAAGAGAGTTGTTTGAATTGGTAGTTTTAATAGAAAAGGTAATGATCTATTTTTCACACACAAAAACATTGCACCTTATAGATTTAAAGAATCAGAAAAAAGTAAAGGACAAACAGAGATGGAGCAAAACCTGTGTATTTTTTTAAAAAAAAAGGTGATTTTCATGTTCTACTTAACGTGAGAGTTAAAGTCATGAAGAAACCACTCGATTCTCTAAGACAGATTTTAACTCACCCTGTTTTTACCATCAAATCTCAGCTGGCTGATTTTTAATGGGTAAATCTTACCTTTTTAGCAGTAGCATATGCAGTATAAAAATATGTAACAAAATATAAAAAAGACTTTGACCGTAGCAATGTGTTCATGTCCCAGTTAGTAACAGCTTTGCTAAACCAGTCAGAGCAAGAGAACCTTGCAACAAGACAATGGAGCAATTATCAAAAATTACTTCCTTTAAATCTAACTTCATATAAACGATGATGATAAAAAATTATTTCTTATTTTTCTGTTCTAAAAATGGCAACAGGCATGGTAACAATATTCGAAAAAGTTAATTAAGTATATAAATATATCTATATACTTGATATATACTTAATAAACTTTGTCAGCTCAATAAAGTTGTATTAAATTTTATTGTATTCTATGTATATATAAATTTAGAACTTGATCCTTAACTGTTTTCTGTTTTGCTGGTTAGGAGGAGGATCCAACTAAGCATGCCGAGTTTTACGGTCATCAGTATAGCAGATTTCTGATTG